ATTGATGATGCTGAGGCTGATGTGGAGGAAGAGGCAGTTGCTGGCGCTGAGGCTGATGGGGAGGAAGAAGCTGTTGATGACGCTGACGCTGAGGTTGAGGGGGAAGAAGAAGCTGTTGATAACGCTGATTTGGAAACTGGAGAGACTGAAACTGACGAACTTAATATTGAGGATGATATACATCCAACAGACTCAAATGATATTGTAGCTGATGATGAAGAAGAGCAAGAATCATATGAAGATGAACACAATGGCCATGATGATGTTATTAATGAAGATGAAAGCTCCGAAAGTGAAGCTGCTGAATCTGAATTCGCTGATTCTGTTGACTCTGCTGATACTCTTGAACCAGAGCAAATAGCTAGAGAACCTGAATCCAGTGGATTTAAAGAGGAAGAACCAGTTGAAGAAACAATTAATGATACTTCAAAAGGTGAATTGGATAACAATACCGAGGATACAATTGATGATATTGACGATTCTCGCCCAGAAGATACACCTATTATTGAAAATGACATAGAAGAGGAAACTGGAGGTGATATTGATGATCCGCGTCCTGCCGATTTACCTCACGCCGACGCTGTTGACGAAAGAGATATTGAGACTGATACTGAAGCAACAGATAGTTATATCGTCGATGATTCAACATTCGACCACATCGATGTCAGCATGCAATCTTTTTCAGCGTCATCTAGTAGCAAACACAAAGTCGATCCTAATGAAAGTGGTACTCAAACAAGTACTACATTTACTAAGCGTCAAAGTATTTCTAGTGCTGAGGAAAGCATTGTCACTAAGCCTTTCACCAGCAAGCAAGCCACTATTCAATCATCCCGTAATAAAGTAACTACTAAATCACCCGCCATTGATTCGCCAACTACTGAACCTTCCAGTACCACACCAACTACTATTAAACCTTCTACGTCTAGAAGTTTTGTTTCGAAAGCTTCTTCCAAGGTTTTGTCTAGCCATGACCCAAATAAAAAAAAGAAGGTGAAATCATCTGAGGTAACTACACCAGCAAGCACTGAAAATACAACTGTTGGGGCTCCTAAAACATCTGTCTTGAGTAGTAAAATATCCTCAATTACATCTGTCCCTCAATCAAAAATAAAAAATGCTACTAGGTCCAGTAGCAAAAAGACCAGAATTCCAAAGAAAAGTCTCAGTAAAAGACTGACGAAAAGTCGAACTGTAAAACCTAAACCAACAAGTCAATTACATGATGAGTTGTAGCTTTTTTCGGGGTAATATTCTTATAAATAGTCTTGTGCATAGTATATAAACTTTGAATTGTACTCATATTTGATTTATTTAGAGATTTTGATACGCGCATCAAAATGACAAAAAGTATTTAGTAATATTGACGTTTTACTCAGCACACTTGCACATTCAAATCACATCCATGATATAAACCTTGCAGTGTAGTTGTTGAATTTTTCTGAAGTTATGAATTCAAATCCGTTTTCAAAAAACCTTCAGAGTGTTACAGATCCCTCAGATTGGGAATCTACAAAATTGCCAAATTTAAAAGAACTTGATTCACTACAACGTTGTTATATATGCAAAGAATTTCTTAAGGCACCCGTCATAACGAGTTGCAATCATACATTTTGTTCTCATTGCATCAGGGAATATTTAATTGTTAATAGTCATTGTCCATTATGTAAAGCAGAACAGTTTGAAAGTAATCTCAAACGAGTTATATTATTAGAAGAGATAGTTCTATGTTATTCCAAATTTAGGCCTATTTTACTAGAATTGCTAAAAAAAGAAGAATCTGAACATGCTTATGACAAGAGCACAAGTCCATCCTCCGATACCCCAAGTAATCTTGAAGAATCTCGTAAAAGAGCATCATCTGATCAGGAAGTTATAGAAATATCATCAGATGATAATAATACCCCCGAGTTATCTGAAATATCAAGTGAAATTACAAAGAAGAAAATTAAAACTGAGGCTAGTACGAATTCACGGAATGCTATTCCAACCAGAAACGAAATGGTAGAATGTCCTATTTGTTCTGAAGTAATGTCTGCAGATTTACTACAAACGCAACATATTGATTATTGTTTAAGTGGAAAGAGTCAGCCATCTAGTTCTAGGTTTACAGGCACATCAGCTCTGAAATATCAAACAATGAAGAAAAGGCTGTCCAACAAGGCAAATAATGGTATCTCTTCATTTTTCAAACCAGCGGACAATAATAAACCCATAACGGCGGCGGTTGGTAAATTTGACCTATCTAAATCAGATAACCAAAACTTCTATTTTGATGAAGTTTCTAAGCACCATCACAATGATGTAAAGAAACTACCTAAGCTAGATTTTGGCTCTTTAACTACTCCTAAATTAAAAGAAAAATTATCGCATTTGAAGCTTCCAGTGCAGGGAACTAGAAACCAGCTTGAATTGAGATATAATCATTATTATATCCTATTCAACTCAAATTTGGATAGTAATCATCCTTTATCGGAAAAGGTGTTGAGGCAAAAGCTTAATCAATGGGAACTTTCTCATCTGGCTTTCACAAATCAAGGATCGACTTCCACCTTGTTTAATAATGGAAGTCCATCTGTTAAATCTATTACTGATAAAAACTTCTCTGTGAAAGAGTGGTTAGATGCTAATAAAAATGAATTTAAGAGTTTAGTCAAAGCAGCCAGAGCATCAATCAAAAATACCAATGCCAAAAATACGCCATCGTCCGTATCCGATGATAGCGGATTAACCAAATCGCCAAATAGTCATCCAACAGATGATCCACTTGCAAACGAAGGATCTGACTACCAGTCGAAAGAGAATTTAGTAGAGCGCATCGATGATGGTAATTCTAAAGAAACCCAACCCGACGAAATTGGCAACCTTAATTTTAAAGAAGATATTGCTAATAGCCCACTTTTTGTGAAGGATTTTCCTGAAGGATCTCATAGTTGATTCCTTACATTGTCTTGTATATTTATTTAGGTGGTATTTATAGATTTTGCAACTGTATTTATTTATATTGTAATTTAAGTAAATTATTAAACATGGCATCAACAGTATAGTGGTATGTTTTCTCATGTATTACTCAACATATCAAAGTATGATGGTCACAAATATACTACATTATACTGGCAGACATTCTGCTATTCTTTTATCATAATTGATATTTATGTATTTACTAAACCGCGATATTTTATTCTAAGACAGAGCATCTCAAAGTAAAATCCGATTCGAGTCTTCTTGCGACAAATTCATTCCTTAAAAGATTTGCTTTAGTTGAACATGGATGACTCGTATTCGACGAGTAACGAAGCTGCTTTGGCTGTCGTAGCTACGTCTATGAAAAAAGCTCGTCTACCTATGGAAGTACTAATTGTGAATTCATTTATTGGAGGACTATTGTTCACTACGGGGGGGATGTTAGCTATTGTAATAGAATCGTATAATCCTGGCTTGAAAGAAAGTAATCCAGGAATTATAGTATTACTTCAAGGATTGGCTTATCCGATTGGTTTATTTTATGTTGTTATCACCGGCACGGATTTGTTTAACTCGAATATCTTATTTTTTAGTGTGGGACTTGTACGTGGAGCTGTGTCTATACTAGACCTTATAATCAGTTGGATTGTTAGTTATTGGGTGAACTTAATAGCTAATATATTTGTCTGTTACATTATTTGCAATTTTTCTGATATCAGTCAGAAAGAAGATTTCGTGGAAGGATCAATCGATGCTGTAATGCAGAAGGCTTCTTTTTCATTCGTTAATAACTTAATCAAGGGCATAGCGGGTAACTTCTTTGTCTGTCTTGCCATATATTTACAAATAATGGCAAGGCCATTGCATGTTAAATTTTTAATGTTGGTTTTACCGATATTTTCGTTTGTAAGTATCGGCTTCACCCATTCTGTTGCAGATATGTATGTCCTATTAATGGGATTGATCAATAATGCGCCAATTTCTGTTGGGAAGGTCGCGTGGAAAATTATGTTGCCAGGTGCTCTTGGTAATATGATTGGTGGTTCGTTCTTTGGAATGGTTATCCCATGGTACTTACATTTGTATTGTGTGGAGAGAGATCAGAGAGAGTTGAATTTACCACAGTATGATGCGAGAGATGAGCAGCCACAAATTAACTCTGATTCTAGAGTTGTAAAGAACAGACCAAGAACTATTACTGAGGAGTTCGAAGAAATACCAGAGCCATATCCTGTGAAATCTGAAAAGAACGAGGATTCAAGTTTAAGTTCTGAAAATAATACTAGTGTCGCTCCACCAGAACAATTGGTAGGTGATATTAGTCAATATCCCGAACATTTGATTAAGGTTTCTTCTAGAGCGTCAGGTATTTCTAGATTTAGTGCTAATAGTACTCGCTATACTCCCAAATCCCCAAGAAATGTTTTCCCAGTATATGGAATGGGAGCCCCAAGTGGAAGAGAAAGATCCATTGCATCTGGGACGAATATCAATATCATTGACGAAGATCTCGACACAATACATACATCTAAATCTAATCTTGGAAACGGTAACGATTCCAAATCAGCAACGTATATTGGAGACCATGTTAAGAAATTATTTTCAGGGTACGCATTAAATAAGCTAAATAGGGATCTCGAGTCGCAAAATGAGAGTCGCCCTACCATTGATAGAAGCCGTTCAACTCCAAATGCTATTGCTGAAAATCAATTTCATCGGCTGTCGAGTAAATTACTGAGAAGGCCGAGTAATAGGGTAGCTGCTACTATTAATGCGGTCCCATTAGTAGGGAATCTGGTAGCCGAGACAGCATCTACCGCGCTAGAAAACACAACTGACGTTACCGATCGAACATTCACAAACCTGGATTGTGTATCTCCAGGGCATTCTATTGATTCAGAACTTCAAACTAATAATACCATGCCTATAGTGCAGAATTCTAATCAATCGTCATTTAATATCGTAAATTACCAACCTGAATCCCCTAGCTCAAAGAAAAGTTAGAGTTAATAAGTTTATTTTGGAAATTCCGGCATATCATTTATAAATAGCATGTAATTATAGACAAAACATGTATATAACATTAGTTTTAATAAATTATCGAGAAAATTGTAAAATTGAACCTGTAATTTATTTTGCAGCCAGTTGTATCTACTAACACTTACAGCATCTGACACTTGATAAATTTAACTCATTATCTAAAATGTAGTCTCTAGATACTTGAATGATAAAAATCAATTAAGACCTTCTTAAAATATTTCAAACTAATCAAGTACTTCTTTACTCAATCTACTATCAAGTGTAGATTCCAAATCAACAAAAAAAAAATGGACGAGACAGGAATCGAACCAGTGACCTTCTGCTTGCAAGGCAGACGCGCTACCAACTACGCCACACGCCCTTCTTTTTTAAAGTTATTTTTAATGAAGTCTTAACAATTATATTCAATCCAAAAGACTATTCTTGATGTAAACGTCGTACTATGCTACTCGTGCTTTTTATTAATACATTAACATCTTAAGAGGTTTTAGGTAACATTACCTTCAAGTAATGTATATAAATGGAACTAAGATTTAAGTGAAGTAAAATCCATCGTATCAATAAAAGCCGCACGCAATGAGAAGCTACAAAAAAAAATTCAGATGAGGTCCATACTTTACTAGAACCTCTTCTTCACACTTTAGAATACGTTATAGTTGTTAATGGGACAAGATAAAAATAACCTAACAGCTGCTGCCGCTGCTGCCTATGTTGATGACTCAACTACTTGGGAATCATTTGGTTTAGATCCTCGTTTATTACAGGCTATTGACCAATTAGGGTTTGAAAATCCAACATTAATCCAATCAAGTGCAATTCCCTTAGCCATAGAAGAGAAAAGAGATATAATTGCTAAAGCATCTACTGGATCGGGTAAGACAGCTGCGTATAGTATCCCTATCATCCAAAATTTATTGCAAGATGAATCAACTGAAAGAGAAATCAAGAGTATTATACTTGTGCCAACAAGAGAATTATCAAACCAAGTTAGCCAATTTTTGGAAAAGCTATTAGTATTCTGCAACAGTAAAATCAGATTAATTAACATATCATCAAATTTGTCAGATCAGGTTATTAATTCTTTATTAATAAACAAACCGGAAATAATTGTATCTACACCTGCTAAATTGATTCAAATTCTCGACAAGAACGTAAATTCAAATCTTATCAATTTATCTGCTGTGAAAAACTTAACTATTGATGAAGTTGATTTGGTGTTATCATATGGTTATTTAGAAGATTTGCAAAAACTTGAATCCTATTTACCAATCAAGAAGAATTTACAAACATTTTTGATGTCTGCCACAATAAATGATGATTTGAATGATATCAAGTCCAAATTTTGCTCCAAGCCAGCAATTTTAAAGCTAAATGATGAAGACGCCAATCAAAATAATTTAATTCAATATTATGCAAAAACTACTGAATTCGACAAATTTTTGTTGACCTACGTTATTTTCAAATTAAATTTAATCAAAGGAAAAACATTGGTCTTTGTAAATAATATAGATAGAGGATATCGTCTTAAATTATTTTTGGAACAATTTGGAGTTAGATGCTGTATTTTGAATAGTGAGTTGCCAATCAACTCGAGGTTAAACATTGTTGAGCAATATAATAAGAACGTTTACAACTTACTTATCGCTACTGATGAAACTAATGACTTTACTGTGGAAAAAGATGAAAATGATGAAGAAGAGGAAATAGCGGAAAATAAGGATGATGAAAATAATGGAAAGGCATCCAAGAAGAAATCTAAACAAAAGAAAGATAAAGAATATGGTGTATCAAGAGGTGTTGATTTCCGTAATGTAGCCTGCGTTTTGAATTTTGATTTGCCTACTTCTTCTAAATCTTACATACACAGGGTCGGAAGAACCGCAAGAGCTGGTAAGTCAGGAATGGCATTATCTTTTGTTTTACCAACTAATGAATTTGGAAAACATAAAACTGCATCGTTATCCACTGCTAAGAAGGATGAAAAGGTTTTGCGTCGGATTGTTAGACAACAATCTAACAACGGTTTCGAAATCAAGCCATACCAATTTGACATGAAGCAAGTTGAAGGGTTTAGATATAGAGCTGAAGATGCCTTCAGAGCGGTTACGCAAACTGCTGTTAGAGAAGCTCGTATAAAAGAATTGAAAAACGAATTAGTTAATTCTGACAAATTAAAGAGATTCTTCGAAGAGAATCCGCAAGATTTAGCATCATTAAAGCATGATAAAGAGTTACACCCAACAAGGGTTCAGACTCACTTAAAGAGGGTACCCGAATATTTACTTCCTGAAAGTGCTAGGGCTGATCATAAGAAGATCGGTTTTGTTCCTTTCCATAAAAATAAAGTACATAAGAATAGGAAAAGAAAACCATCTGGTAGAAAACCGGATCCTTTGAAATCATTTAGACCTAAATGAAGAACTTTATAGATAATAAATATGTCCTAATAACGTTTTTTTGAATTAATCGTCAAAATTTGTAATTTTTTCGCAGTTAAACAAAATTTATGAAATTTCATGAATTAGAGAAAACTTTCTGAAGCGAACGATATGTTGACTTTAAATACCTTTGCATGTTACTAAGCCTCACAGGGTTTCCATCATAAAGGAATAAAATGCTTCTATTAATTATGATAAAGTTCCTTAGCCTTCTTTTTACGCAAAGGATGCTACGTAGGAAATCTATGCCGATAACTTGCTTTAAATTGATAGTCTATGAATTAAAAGTACATATAAAGTAATTATGAATTATACATGTAAAGAAGTAGAAGTAAACTTTGGTTATTAACTTAGCTTGCTTAGTATGATATTCCATACTAAATTGGCCAAACAATTTGCAGGCACTATCATATTCTTGGGTATGTATATAAATGTGCCAATGGAAAACAATGGCCAGTAACAGTAGCTGTATTTCAATGATTTGATATACTTTTGTCTCGTACTAGCAGAGATTTCACCGTTCTCCCACAAGCTACTTAGTATATTGAATACCATCTGAAAAATGGGTGCTCCCACTAATTGGTCCACAAATATTCTATGCAATGTACTGTCGAACTTGGTCATCAACAATTCAACCCAGAGAGCAGTGAAAAATCCATTGATAGATCCCCATACTAGAAACTTGCATACCCTTCGAAAGTTCAATTTTTTCTTGAAATATTGGTTGATAGATTGTGCTAATGCTGCAGTGGATGATCCAAGTAATGTTGGTGCCACGAGCGGGTGTATATTTAACAACAGATGATAGTTACAATATAATGAGACGGAAATCACACTCTCCATAAGTAAATATATTATCAACTTCCTTTTGAGTGGTTTGGGTGCCGGATATAATGGTGGATTGGCCTCATCTAGACTTGACGCCGATTTTTCTAGGTCCCGATATAATTTTTCCTCCTTCAAGCTTGATAGCTCAATATCAGGCATTATATAAGCTAGCTCTGCTTCAAAAACACCTATGTACCTACAATTTAGTCACTTCGACGTGTTTTACTCGTATGGTGATTTCGAAATGTGCACGTGTCCCAACATGCCAAAATTCTTTTTCATCCTTATCTATGAACCTGTCAAACACAAATAAAATGGCTTAATATAGGCCGACGATTATTAGGATGTACGGTTGTAATCTCTGTATGCTTTGAAAGTACATTAGCGGGAAGACAAGCTAGTCATGATGCATTGATGTATATAAAATTGGCCCTTAACTCTAATTTGATGACATGGGAATCTCGTCTGAAGATATTCCGAAGTTATATTGGTAATATTGTAATCAGCCTACAGTAGTATACAGTTTTCTATCGCTTCCTACCGGTAAATGAAGATGGTGACAATTTGTTTCGCAAAAAAGAGAAATTGCTTTAAACAATAATTTTCAACGATAACAGATATCACCGAATTGACCCTCATTGGTATTTCAAACCCCTTCTTGATCATCCCACGTCTTGATATTCGGTTTTAAATTAAATATTTAATGGGCGGGAAAAGCTTTCCTTGGCTCTCCCGCAGCCGGCCGTTTTATTATGCGGTCGCAATGGGTGAGGAGCCTCGTTTAGTCTTTTTCCCTACACAACTACAGGTTGTCTGTAGAGCTAGGCAGCACTATTTTCGAAGGTTATCAATGGCTGTTTAAGAGATAGGGCTCCGTATATAAGATGCTCTATCAAGCTAGTGTCTACACATAGAGAATTTTGTTGCAACCTTTAAAGTCGTTGTCGATGTTCCGATCAAAAACTTGCATACTGGGGTATCTTTAATTGCGTTAATTAAGTTGGCTCATATATCTGCAAGCATACATTTATTTGTACAAGACTATGAACCAGATGTAGACAAATCGCCGGAGATCCTTTATTTTGCACCCTTTTCATGAAGCAAATTGAAAAAAGAAATTAATCCGCACGATTCTACGCTTTCACCAAGAGCAGGTCATCCAGCAAACAGGGACATCTTCAACGTTGTGCTAAAACGAATTAATGCACTGACGAGATGAATTCAATGACAAATTAGCGGATAACACAGCTGTGCCGGATTTTACTATCATTTTTTGTATTGTCCTTACAAATCTTTGTTACTAATTGTTTTCTTAGTAATTGACTCCACAAAAAATACAGTAAAAAATTAAACTCCCGATTTTTGCGGGCCGATACGTTGCGCATTTTGTATTATATAACAAATGTAATCCTCTTAAAAGATAGTTTTGGTTTGCTACCAAGCCTTTATACCTCTATCAATACTAAGAATGGTGAAAGATGAGCGGAATAGCCTGAAAAGAGACAGCGAAGAGTCATCTGATACAGGAATAAGAGATACAGGTTCACAAATACTTAGTGATGAAGAGAAAAGTGACGATGCAAGGTTTGAAGTGGTATTCGACGGTAATGGTGACGACAGAGAAGATACGAGGAATCTTTCTAAGATACATAAATGGAGCATAGCTATAATTATATCAGTAACATCGTTCTGCGTGACTTGTATATCAGCAGCATGGTCGATGGCTTCAGATAACATAATGGAACATTTTGGAATTAGTCATGAAGTCAGCACATTAGGAATATCGTTATATGTGTTCGGATTGGGGCTCGGAGGAATCTTTTTGTCCCCAATCAGTGAGTTCCATGGTCGTAAAATCACATACATCATTTCATTATCATTTTCATTTGCATTTCAATGCCTAACGGCATTTAGCCCCAATATAGGAAGTATGTTGTTTGGGAGATATATGTCTGGATTTTTTGGATCAGCTTTTATGAGTGTAGCAGCTGGGTCATTGGCAGATATTTTTGCTAAAGATGAGATGTCTACACCCCTTTTGCTTTACACCATCTCACCCTTCGTTGGACCGGGTGTACTGCCGCTTATTTCTGGATTTATTAACTCAAACTTGTATTTTCGCTGGACTTTTTATGTAATGTTGATATGGACAGGAGTGCTAGTAATAATGATAGTACTTTTTGTACCTGAAACATATCAGCCAGTCCTATTGAAAAAGAAAGCTGCAAGACTCAGGAAAAGCACCGGCGACAATAGATATTTCGCCCCATTAGAAAAAGATACAACATCGTTGTTTGAGAGTGTTGTATTGTCATGTAAAAAACCAATATTGTTGATATTCAAAGATTACATGACGTTGGCATTATGTTTCTACACGGGATTTGCTTTGGCTATTGTCTATTTGTTTTTTATTGCATTACCATACATTTATAGAACGGTCTTTGAATTCAAGCTTTCATCCCAAGGATTGGCATTCTTAGGTCTTATCATTGGCATGGCCTTCGCTTCACTTGCATCTCCTTCTCTTTTCGATAAACAATATGCAAAGCTTATAGAGAAAAATGGCGGGGTTCACAAACCAGAATTCAAGTTTCTTCCGTTGATGACAGGAGTTTTTGTCATCCCGGTAGGGTTGTTTATCATGGCATGGACCTCATTCGCCAACCTTCACTGGATTGGCCCTATCATAGGGTCGGGTATTTTTGGTGCGGGTACGGTTTTAATTTTTAATGGTGTTTTCGCATACACTGTTGATGCTTATAGATTATATGCTGCTTCTGCAATGGCTACAAACACCTTTATTAGATGTACAATGTCTGGTATATTTCCATTATTTGGATTACAAATGTACGAGGGCATGGGTGTCCACTGGGCGACAACTTTCTTAGCTCTTTTTGCTTGCGCTATGATTCCTGTGCCCTTCATTCTATACAAATATGGTCCATATTTAAGAAGTAAGAGTTCTTTTACTTGGTCATGAGTTTTATGAGATGATCACTCCATAATAAATATCTTATTAAATTAACATACTATGTAATTACTATACTATATTCTTACATATGCACGCATTCTCTAAGCCAAATTTGGGTTCCAATACCTTTCCACAGGAATAAAGCCGTCTTTAAAGCCCTATATAGAATAAGTGTACAGTTCTCCAACTTCTGGGGTCTGACATATAGTTATAAATAGATAGCCAAGATAGTAGAATTTAATGATCTATGTAATGCATGTTTCTATTATTAGTCGCGATAAATATTTACGCTCGCAATCTCAACCTTCTTTTTGCATCCGTTTGGGTCATTACCAGCTAAAGAAGATACTAACACACGGGGTAGAGTAGAATAGACTAGCGTATATTATGTATCTTAAATTAGACTTCTATTTGGATTAGAAACTACTAGTTCTTCAAAATGATTATATTGGAAGTTATTTTTATATTTAGTTTGCAATGCCAAAGGTATAAATATAAGGCAAACCCTCCTGGTAAGACTGAAATTTAAATATATTATATAACAAACTTATATAACTATTACAATATATTATATAACAAACTTATATAACTATTACAATATATTAAATAACAAAATGAAATTCGGCACATTATCCTTTTTAGCCTTAACAGTAGCTTCAGTTGCTAACGCAGTTCCAGTTACCAGAGGAGACTTCAAAGACATACATTTCGGCGTTGAGGCATCAAATTCGGGATCTAAATTTGACTGCGATCCAATCAAGAAGGTTGATAGCCACCCTCACGTTTTCTCTGTCGGTGGAAATGAGGGTAGTGATCTTTACTTAACTTTGAGAGAAGATGGTTCCTTAGTTGATCAAACCGGTCGTGGGATTTACATCGACCCAAGCACAGGTGAATTCGGAAACGTTGATCCATGGGGAGAACAAACACCATCTTGTGGTTTCGAAATCAAGGACAATATCTTGATTTACCAAGGTACAAACGACTGGAAGGCATGTCCAAGTGGACCAGATAAATACTCGTTGGCCAGAAATGACTGTACTGGCGGCACTGACATTGACTTAAAGGTTCTTGACCCACATTGCGACTAGTCATCTTACGAATTATAAAACCACTGGGTGGTTGTTGCAGTTATTCATTCAATACGTTACATTCATTATTTTCTCTATGTTTTACATTTCTAAATATACGCCGGCTTTAAAAAAGTTTTGTAGGTACTCCATATTCTTCTTAAATGCCTTTTAGAATAAATATTTGGGGTTATGTTGCCCTGATCAGCCTCAGAAGATGCTGGAAATCTATACCGTCATTTCGAGATCGAATACAATACTAACTGAAGAGTATATTTCAACCATCTAAATAGCTGTGTGTAAGTGATCGAAATGGTAGTCCACAACCCAAATAACTGGTATGTATATATGATTTTTTGAGTTAGAAAAGTTGGGGATTAAGGCTAACCATTTTGCGTAGGCACTGGGTAGATAAAAATTGTCTTCCATGGTCGAAAGATTATTTTCAAGAAAACATTATAAATACTTGTTTTGAAGACGATACTTTGAAAATTTCTTTAGACAAAGTTGATTCCATTACCGGGGACTGTGATGTTACGCAAAGAAAAGGGAAGGCGTTATGCATTTACGATATGAAGTTACAATTTTCGATCAATGGAGTTACTAAGAACGAAGAAGAGACGTTCACAGGTACTATAACAGTTCCCGAATTTGTTCATGATCAAGACGAAGATGAGTATGTTTTTGAAATCGACTCGGAAACTTATAAAATAGAAATTAGGAAGTATTTCATCCCGATTTTGAAGGAAAAGTTGATGAACTTTCAAGGTGATTTAGTCAAGGCCCATGAAAAAGACGTTCAGCATAATTCAAATTAGATATTTATTCATGGATATTTTACATACTTATATATAAGAAATAAGTGTACTTTATACAATATTTGTAGACATATTAGCTGTCAAAACCTTCAGGAACTCCTTTGGCATGTCTTTCTGTACCGTCTCTAGAACCAAAATAGAGCTCAACGGGGCCGTTATCATTGTCAGTTTCATCAATGCTATACCAAGGGACGTTACCCTGTTCAATAGTTTTTAAGAATCTGTATGTTTCGACACTGCTATACGGTATACCATTGGAAGGATCAAAATATTTAACTTCTGTGCCTGAGATCAAACAAGCTTTCTTGTTTCCATTTGGTAAGTAAATTCCTGTCGGCGCTTCTGTCTTTAATACTATAGGTGCATTCTCCTCTTGTGTATCCTCTTCAATTTCTTCTACTATAGCTTGGGTAATACCTAATTTAGGTAACCTTTTAAGTTCATCAAACATTGCATTATCTTCATTAAGTTCTGAAACTGGTTCAAATAACTCATCCTTTTCTTGCTTCACGGTTGCATAAGGATTTTCCACCTCACCAATTCTTAGGATAGTCTTTAAATCTTTAAACCTTCTAGAAGCCGGAAGAAGAGACTGTGGCCCGAATAGTATGGATTTAATGTTAGAGTGGTCGAGTTTATAGCTGGGATCCTTATCCTCTTCAAAGTCTATAAGATATATCATATTACGAGCTACTCTTTGCGGTGGACCTTCGAATATTTCAGGATTGGTTTCAAATTCAACATCCGGCGTGGAATTATTTGTTTCGTATGGTTCGGTTTCCTCCCGTTGTTCTTGTTCCAATTCATCTGCAAATTTAACTCTCTTCTCTTCTTTCAAATTGTTTAACTCTTCATGCGTATTATTCAACAATACTCCCTCTATATTATCAGGATTTCCTTCTTCCTCCTTTTCAGATTTAGCCTTATCTGAATCGCTCCCCGATATTTTGTTGACAAAGCCATCATTTGATAATGGCTCTTCTTTCACAGATGTATCAACAATCGTTGCACTCTTGAAAGAAACTTCATTTTCTGTAATTTTTTCATTTTTTTCATCCAAATGGTTTTCAATACCTTCTTCTTCTTCCTCCTGAATGTGATTAGAATCTTTATCTTCATTATATTGAACCGTAGTTTCTTCTGTTGTATCTTGGGTAGCATTTTTATCATCTTCAGGGCTAATGGCTTTACCTTCAACTTCGTTAGGACCCTTCTCTTCAATAGTCTCTTTAGGCTCCTCAGATACAACCTCAGATGTATTGGGAGGAGGTGTGGAGGATTTATCCATATTTTCGTTTTCTTGATTATTATCAGCTTGTGTATCAGAGGTAATTTCTGCAGTTTTATCTCCTCCGTTAATTTTAGCTTCCTCTTCCTCTTGGATTCGTTTTCTTTCCAATTCTTCCTTTACAAGTGGTAATTCGGTATCAACTTCTCCAGGAAGTCGTCTTGCCTCTGTTTCTTTTGAAACCTTCTTTTTTCTTCCGAGCTTCTTCCTCGATCTAATATTAAGTAGTTCACGCATGTGTCTAGCTTCATTTATTTCATCCAAGGGCGTTATTAGTCTTTCATAGCTTATTGTTCTAACTACATTTTTGAGTTTCACTTTCCGCAGTAATAATAGTTGTTTCTGTCTTTCTTTTTTGACTATTTCTTGATCCCTGAACTGTTGCAATGATAATATATTAGCCTTTTCTGTTTCTATTGCTTCCGCAAGCTTTTCTTCCTGAGTCAAATCGACGTGTTTAACACGGACAATAGGGCCTATCTTGGCCCTTCTCTTTTCGTTTTCCTTTAATTTTTGAACCAATGCTTCTTTGTTTTCTACGGCCGTTGATCTGGACGACGATCTTCTCATCGATAATAATAAGGAGTCAGATGATGTTAACCCCTTTGGTTTCTTGGCCTTTGGCTTTTCATTCAATTTGGGCTGCTTGATAGTGGGTACAAGACTTTGTTTCTTTTTCACTTTACGCTGCTTCATCTTTTCTTGTATTTGAAGCTCTTTCTCCCCTTCACTTTCATCTGATTCTGACATTGATATATCCGAATCCGAGAGAACGTCGTCTGAATTCACTTGTTCACCTTCATCGTCAGATTCATGTGCTCTTTTATTGTTTGTCTCTTCTTTGTTTATATTATCTTCATCGTCTCCTTCCCCTTCTTCGTTATCTTCATTTTCCTCTTCTTCTTCCTCCTCTTCTTCTTCTTCAAAAAACTCCTGATCATCTTCATCCTCTTGAAATAATAAATTTACATTCTCATCTTCTTCATTTATTATTGAACTGACAGATTCTTGTACATCACTGGCTCTTTCTTCTAATTCAATTAAATGCTTAAGACGCGAACCAGCATTAGAACGCCTAGATCTAGTAGCAACCAAGCTATCTTCGTCTGGCATTATTCTATTATGTAAAGTTACAAACCGAGTTATATTTGTTCTTTGAATTAAATTTTGAGATTGAGATTAAAAATATTGATTTCGAAAAGAATCACAGAAAAAACACTTTTGTTAGTATATTTCATTTGAGAGAATCCATAATAATGAAGCTGATAAATACTAGGTATATTACAGGAAAGGTACCTTTCACTAGACAATTGTCAAGATCGGCATCTTTATTGCACAATAATACAAAATTTACAGCAGCATCAGAAGATGAAATGTCACACTTCAATGCTTTAGCTTCAACATGGTGGGATGTTAATGGTCCCCAGAGAATTTTGCACAAGATGAATTTGTTAAGAATGGATTTCATTCACGAGAACGTAAGATCACATTTAATATTAAACAAGCCCGGAACTCCCCAAGATGAGGAAATCTATATTCCTCCTTATAATGTTGACTTGTTACCAAGACCCATAAAACATAGAATATTGATGGAACAAGATTTAAAAAGAGATGAAATTTTAAACAACTCAAGATTGAAGGTATTGGATGTAGGCTGTGGAGGAGGCATTCTATCGGAGTCATTAGCTAGGATGAGCTTTATTGAAAAAGTACAAGGTATTGACTTATCCACTGACGTTTTGGAGGCTGCCAAGTTGCACAAATCAAAGGACCCACTTCTTACTGAAAGTAACAAATTGTCATATGAATTGAAGGCCATTGAAGATTTACCCTTAAATGCGGAATATGATATAATTACCATGTTTGAAATGTTGGAACATGTTACTTACCCTTCTAAAGTCTTAATTGAGGCTTTACTGAGAGTCAAAGTCGGTGGATGGGTCTTCTTGTCAACAATAAATAGAGATTTCGTAAGTTGGTTTACTACAATCTTCATGGGTGAACATGTATTAAGAATCGTGCCCGTGGGAACGCATTCATTAGACAAATATATAAATCAAGAGGAAATAAGGAAATGGTTAGAAGAAGATCCTGAGAGAAAAGAATGTTTCGAAGTCGTAGATGCCAAGGGCTGTGTTTATTTACCTGCGTACGGTTGGAAATTTACCAGTAGTCCTAACGTTGGTAATTACTTCATGGCAATACAAAGAAAAAATTAATTTATTATTGTTAAATATGTAAATAGGCTTATTAAAATACAAGCATAAATTAAATTGTAAGAATTTAAACTAGATGGCAACTTTTGCAGGGTTTTCGTCAGTAGGTTCATCAATAAATGTAGGTAAATTTTCGTTACCTAACTGTTCACCGTCATTCAAATAACTAGGTACTCCGACTCCACTTTCAGCCATTTCACTTTCAAAATCCATTTCTTCGCCTAACGCATCTAATTCAGCATCCAATTCGGATTCACTTATTTCATCGGGAACGTCATAACTCGTCAGTAATGATTCCTGGAGTTCGTTTGATTTATCAATCAAATCAAGCATTTCATCCTGCAATGCTTCAATCTTATCAACGTCTATTTTACCATATGTTTTCTTGAGTTGCTTGTTGGCTGCTTTCATAGCATCTACCGTTATCATGGTATTCTGCAAATTGTCTGTAGTCATTGCCGCTTGAGTCATATTCCACGATTGATTTTCTAATTGATCCTTTTGTGCTTCAACCTGCTTTCTTTGTCTTAGCAATTTAAGTGCCTTTTGTTTCAACGCAGATTTCCCTGGCCCATCCCTCATCCTAGCTATCTTTTGCTGATAAGTAGACAATTCTGCGTTTATTTTGGATAATTTTACATCGAAACTTCCCACTCTTTCATCTATATTTTTTACAGCATCGTTCAACGATGGTTTCGGAGCCGTATTCTTAGACCCAAAAAGTCTATTCATTATTAATCTTTTCTAGTTTTTAGATATCTTGAATGTCTTACTGATGTAATTCTCTAAATACGTATTCCTATCTAAGAAATGATCAGTCGTGCGATGACCATTTGAAATGAAGCTATCTGGAGCTTGATAACATTTACAGAGCCTGTATGGTGACGAAGATATACATATAGTTTCTGAGCTTTGATCTGATCCCAATAGTTATGAAAGGTGAAAGTCAATCTATTATAGAATATCATAATATATATATGTATATAATTGAGTATGTATAATTAACACTGCAAACATGTAGTCTGAAAAGTGCTTCACTAGCTCAGTTGGCAGAGCGTCAGTCTCATAGTTAATTAATTGTGTCATCTGAAGGTCGACAGTTCGAACCTGCCGTGGAGCATTTTTTTTTGCTACTCAACTATAAACAGTTTAACGACTTTTCTTCTAACCATTATAGGTAATCAATTTACGATTATATCTTTTATAATGCCTGAAGTAGCAGAAGTATGTACTATTGGTACACAGTATAATGACTAAATACTAATTATTTGCTTTAGGTTGCCCATGTGTGTGCATTGATAAGGAGAAATTTACTTGGATTTAGTATTTCCAAGCTTAACATGAATAATGATCCTCTTCTATTTCCATTTTTGAAAAATAATCCCAATGCAGATCAAGAATTGGTGGATTTACAGTCGACATTGACTGGTTCCACTGTTAAGTCAGTCGGGAGACATGGAAAGTACTTTTGGCTAAGGCTAAACCTCAACAAAGGATCAAAAGATCAAACTGGCGTTTTATTGATGCATTTCGGAATGACAGGTATGATCAAAATTAAGAATGTCAAATCTCACTTAATATTCATGGAAAATGGAGGCGATAAGAAAGTATTGAAGAGATTGGAAGAAGAGAAAAAATCAACAGGAGCTCAATCGGAGTATTTCAAGAAGGAAGAGGATGATGACGCCAGATCGTTAGAAGTAGATAAAAGTGTGACAGAAGTAAAATTCGAAGATACTAAAAAACTAGAGGATGCGAGTGAATCTGATCAAGAAGAATGGCCTCCCAAATTTGTAAAGTTTGAAATGGAATTACAAAAAGACAACGACAAATTCGATCTCGCTTTTGTTGATCCTAGAAGACTAGGTAGAGTGAGATTTTTATCTGGTCCATTGGTTCAATCAGACGATGATTTAATGAAGCAAGAGCCATTATCAGCATTAGGTCCTGATTATTCAAAACCACTTGAAATGCCCCAGACAGAATTCACAACTGGAGATCCTGATCCTGACAGCCATGGAAAGAGTAGATTATCTCTTGAGGAGTTTAACGAATTAATTTTATCCAAAAAGAAGCCTATTAAAAGCTTATTGCTAGAGCAAGGATTTTTTGCTGGTGTAGGAAACTGGATGGGGGATGAAATTCTTTATCACGCCAGGATTCACCCTAACGAAGTATTAAGCAGTAAAATACCGAAAGGGGATTCTGTGGATAATATAATAGAAAGGTTATACAATTCAATCTTATATGTATGTGAGTTAAGTGTACGTGTTGAAGGAGATGTATCCCAGTTTCCTTCAAATTGGCTCATGATTTACAGATGGGGTAAGAGACGGAAAAATAGTCTGAAGCCGAAAACTGATGAAGGTTACGAAG